TAAAAATAAAAATCAGTCGAAAAAAAAAAAAAAAACAGCAGTGTACGCATTACAGAGGACAAGCGCGCAAAATACACGTAGAAGTAGAAGAACAGGACAGGACAGGACAAAGTGCTACTATCAACTGACGTTTTAATGGGAAAGAGAAAAACGAAACGTGAGATTTTTTTTGATAGAAAGGGAAGACGAACGTTGCTGTCAGAGCAAAGAAACTAAGGAAATAATAAATAAATATATACATATATATATATATAGTCTTTTTTTATTTTTATGAGAGGCTATAAAGAAAAACAGGACGGGAAATGACACTAGAGAAAAAAATAAGAAAAACAAATAATTATGATAAAAAATTAGAGAAAAAGAAAGAAATTAAAAAAAAATCGAAAAGAGAAAAAAAAATTGAAACATTGTAGCGTCTTAGAAAACAAATTTAGGTTTTGGAGTTCTCTGTCAGATAAGGCTACTGACGGTCCGCTAAGGCAAGCGGACCGTCATGACAAGGAAAAGGTAGAAGAAGAGGAAGACCGATTAAAGAAGAGAGAAGAAAAGGGATGAGAACATTCCGACAGCAGAGAAGCCAATGCGTTCAAGGAAAAGAAATTCCGAATAAAGTGTAAAGAAAAAGAAAACCGGAACCACGGATAAGCAGAAAAGGAAAAGGAGGCGTCATTAAATGTTGCTAGTACAGCGGTGCGAATGTGTGTTTTTCATGTTCAGCTGGCCCCATTCACAAGCAATGAACCAACTTGCTCAGCTTAAACCCATAACAACGTGCCTTTCTAGCTCACTGAGCACGCCTTTTATTTCTTTTAACCTCCTTGAACCGGATGACCTCTGTCTCTTAATCGCAACGCAAGTCTGCCGAGGAAGAATGCTATCACGTAGTATTGTCACGGGTGGTGACCAAAAAAACAGGAAATAAACAGGAAGAAATAAACGTTTAATCTGGCGAACTTGTGCCAAAAATAAAAGGGTACAAAGATAATAACAGAGCGTCGCGGGCGTCGAAGTCGGCGTAGCAGCACAGTCAAACGCTGGGGCGAAAACTGACTCCGCTCGCCTTGCGGAATCCCTTATGTACCCTCGTGGGTTTCTGGATCGTTCGGCGTAGAAGGTCCGGCGCGTAGAACATTCTAACCTCGAATCAGCAAGACGGGTCTTGAATTCACCAGAACATCAAATTACACTGCCAACAAAAATGTGTAGCCGCGGCCAGGAATCGAACCCTGGCCTTCTGCGTGGGAGGCAAGCGCGATAACCGTTATGCCACGCGCGCGCTGCCTACTTGGCCAGCTGCGCGCGCGGCAGTATCAAAAAGAGAATAATCCTGGATGACGTGCGGAATTGCTTTGGCTTATGTGAGCCGTCTAAGGGACATTCTCAGCGGGTTTAAAAAATTCTTCGATCCGAAACCTGGCGCCAAGCCCGCTTTCTCACAGATTTCCTGAGAGTAAAATACCTCCGCCACAACTGATAAGATCAACTGAAAATGACGAGGATCACAACCGAATGGATGCGTACGCAACAGTTCCTCCCAGCATGGAAACACCACCTAGCAAGAAGAACCACAGCAAACACTAAAAGACCTTCGCTTCGCTTCATTGGTGACGTCAATCTTACAGAAAAAGCCAAAAAGGTACTAGAGAACGGTCCAAAGTTTGCAGTACCGCCAAAGCTTAAGGCCGTTGACAAGGTTGCACTAGTACGACACATCGCGGCCAAAGCTCCAGAAGAAAAAGCACCTCAGATCATAAATGAAGGGATTGCTTGCCTTGCATGCCTAAGGAATCCTCAACATCAGAAAATGAGTTTTGGCTCTACAGTGCAAGAATTGCGCACCAAAGATCTAAAACTATGCGTATCAGACAAGGAGGGAGGGTTTGTCGTCCTCGATACAGGAAAGTGCGCAGAAAGAGCTGATCTAGCCATTACAGAGAATTTCATTCCAGTGGATCAAAAAAGAACTACATCAACAAAAAGAGTCATCCTGAACATACTAGAACATAACCAGCTAGGGAGTCTCGTGACAAATATAAAGGATCCAAGAATAACCGACTGTCTGTCTTTTTCTTTTAGCCAAGTCACATAAAGAGGGAATTTCGGTCCGGGCTATTGTATCCGAGAGAAATGCTTGGCAAGCACAAATGTCAACATTTCTGGCCTAACAACTGTCCCAAGTGCAGGTACAAGACACTTTCAAGATTCCAAACTCAGAAAGTGTGATTTCCTTTCTGCAAGAAAATGGTCATGACATTGCCTCTGGATTTTCTCTTGACATAAATGATATGTATTACTCCATCCCACATGCAGGCCTCCTAAACATACTTCGAGAAACAATTGAACAGCAAGGTCTCGCATCTTTCCAAAGTTCGGCTGGCATGTCCCTCGACATCTTTTTGGAATTGCTAAGTGTTTACTTGAAGGCGACGGTGGTGTCCGATCAAGATCAGCAGTATGTGCAGAAAAGGGGTGTTTGCATCGGGTCTCGAGTGGCTCCATGCCTCAGCGATGCGTTTCTCGCAACATGCGGACTTGCGATCCAACGAAGCATGAAAGATCCCCGGATTGAAGTCATCTTCCGTTACGCTGATGCTTTTTAATACTTTGTGACACGGAGGTAGCAGAACAAGACAACGGTTGCCGCGATCATGTCATGAGGTGCTTTGAACAGAGCTGCTCAGGACTCGAGTTCACTTATGAACTACCCGTAAACAAATCTATCAGATTCATTGATCTTGCCTTAGACTTTAAAGATGGCCACGTCTGCTGGCGATACCAAGCTCGGTCCTGCAAAGGGTTTCTTCCTTTTGAATCCGGACACTCAAAGAACGTGAAACGTGGGGTCGCCACCACGGCACTAACATCTGCCTTAAAGAAGTCATGCGAACACCAGATCCAGAAGAGTTTTGACATTCAGAAATCCAGGCTACTTGATGCTGGGTATCCGAAAACACTACTGGTATCAATATGTGAAAAGATCTCCCAGAAGTTGAAGCGCGGACAGGAAGGCATCGAGCGAACAACAAAGAAAAAGACTGTTAATCCCATAGTGGTAGCACCATAACTCCATGGGATCACTCACCGGCTAAAAAAAATCACAGGCCGGCAAGGGGTCCAGGCGATAAGCTCCGCGACGAACAAAGGATATTCAATGTGCGGCAGGGTAAACGAGAACCAACATAGGCACCAAGAGGCATGTAACATCGCACACAAAACGAGGTACGCCGAATGTCAAAAAGAAGTCATTTATAACATTCCGTTAACATGTGGAAGGTGTTATAATGGGCAGACAGGGCGATGTATTATTGATAGAACCAGGGAGCATGCCACATCTCTACGAAACTAGACAGCAGCAGGACACCTTGCAGCCCATTGTCGCGCATGCCAGTGCAAGGCAACGTTGTACAACGTAAACATCGTGGGGCGACATGAAAATCAACTCGCCTGTGAAATACTGGAAGCCCTAGCCATCGAAGAAAAATGCGAGGACTGTGTTAGTGCCCCTTCCGTTGCACTGCACAACTCAGAGAAGATTTTCCTGCGGAGTGACATGAGTTGAGTGACATGACAAGGAAAAGGTAGAAGAAGAGGAAGACCTATTAAAGAAGACAGAAGAAAAGGGATGAGAACATTCCCACAGCAGAGAAGCCAATGCGTTTAAAGAAAAGAAATTCCGAAATAGGTGTAAAGAAAAAGAAAACTTAAATCAAGTGTAAAAGATTAAAAAATCTAAGTTAGTGTAAAGAAAAAGAAAACCGGAACCAAGGATAAGCAGAAAAGGAAAAAGAGGCATCATTAAATGTTGCTAGTCCAGCGGTGCGAATGCTATATTTTTTCTCTGTGTGTTTTTGATGTTCAGGTGGCCCCATTCACAAGCAATGAGCCAACTTGCTCAGCTTAAGCCCTTAGCAAGCGTCCCCTCTGGCTTTGATGAATCGAGCCACATAGATCTCCCTGGCTCTCGGGTTGTGGTCTTGAGGATTCTGGTTTTTGCAAACCCAGGGGTGCATTTGCAGTTTTGGTTATGTAGGGCGAGTTGTGCTGCCGGAGATGATTGTAGTGAAAGGGCGTGTTCACGTAGTCAGATGTTGAAACACCGGCCATTTTGGCCGACAAGCAGTTCGCCATAAGAGAGCGGAATCGCATAGACGCCCCCTTCTCAGCCGGTGACATACTTGTGTGTGTGCTGAACGCTGCATTGGTCTTCTAGATACTTCTCAGAATTGGCCTTGGGACACAGCCTCTTGAGTTTGTCCGGAGCAGATATAGATACATTGACTCCGGAGCTGGAGGCTACCCTCTTCAAGTTGTGTGTTATACTGTGGATTAAGGGAACTATAGTAGGCCGGGTTTTCCAAACATGTCGTTATTGTGCTCTTCTGATAGACGCTGCCAAACATTCAGCAACATCAAACACTATAGAATTGGGATACCCAGATGTAGTATTTTGATTTGCACGAGATGGCGCTACTTGACATTTCCTTTTTAAAGTAGCCATCTCGTGCATCCATGTAAAAGAATAAAAAGGACAGCACGCGACGGCATGAGCCGCGCGTGATCTGCGGCCTCATCGGCCAGTGTTCGCCCCGCTCCTGAATCCGTCGGTTGTCCTTTCTTCTCGCTCCGGCGACCGTCCAGGTCCGCTCGGGGCATGTAGTTTCCCGGCTACGTCGAACGTGAGTCACCGGCGCTTGCGTCCAATGTAGCCAGGCTTTAGAGCACCGCCGCGTCGGCGCAGAATATAACATTTTGGCGACGAGGATGGAATATTTGTTTTAATATGTAGCATTTTCTCTTTTGTAGCCCGGGATTCGGGAGGGGGCTTCACTCCGCGTCGCGGGTCAGTGGCTGAGGAAACCGGCGCGTAACTGTATTCATGAAATGTATTCCTTTTTGTTCCGGGTGAACGGTAGTCATAGTTTGCGGGAAGGCCGCGTTTGATGAGTTTCGGGGGGAGGCATTAGGCCTAGGTTTTCAGTAAGTTCCATTTTCATCGTGAGATGACTTCGTCATCTTCGTCTTCGAACGGCCCAACGGCGTTCCCGCCGCCGGCCGTCTTTTTGGCAGTGCCCGGTCCGCCGATAGTAGCTTGGCCGGCATGGAAGCGTGCTTTTCTGACTTTTCTTGACGCGTCGGCGTTGCATCTCGTAGAACCGTTCCGAAAAAAAGCCATCCTGTTTTCGCTGTTGGGCACTGAGGGCCAGCGCGTCGTGGATGCATTTCAGCTGTACGAGACGGTTGCGGTGGAGGGGACTGACGAGTTCCAGGTTTTTCTGGAGGCAGTCGAGAAGCATTTTGAGTTTTCGGGTAGTATCGCGCTTGAACGCCAGAAGCTGCGCGGTATGTTCCAACGTCCTGGCCAGTCGGTAACTGAGTTTCTTGCCGTGTTGCGCCATCAGGCTTCGTTTTGTGCTCTGGGGAACGCGCTCGATGAAAGACTTTGCGAGGTTTTCTTGGAAGGCCTGGAGTCCAGACGCGTTCAGGATCGCGTTCTGCAGGAGTGCGACGGCAGCGAGCTGCCAACGCTGTCGCGGGCTATCCAGATCGCTCGCCAGTACGAGCAGAGAGCGAAGACGGCCGCAAGTTTTCGGCGGCGAGAGTCGCAAGTCCCGGTCGCGGCAGAAGTCCAGCGTGTCCAGATCGAGGAACGTCAAACGGCAGCAACACAAGATGGCGGCCAAGCGTCGTTTTCTTCCATCGAGCATGGGCAAGATGGCTACAGCGGCTACCCTCCCTGGCCTCAACCTGGCTACCCCCCGTCGCAGCTTGGACCCAGGATGCCTTGGGCTCCAGTGGCCTCCGGTCACGTGCCCCGTTTTCCGGCGAGGGTGTTCCAGCCTCAGCGTGAGCGTGAGCCCGCTCCGCCTCGGACGGGTGGAATCGGAGCAGACGACGCCTGCTACTTCTGTGGACGCCGCCGTCATGATCGATCGGTTTGCCCGGCGTCTCAAGCGACATGCTTCTTATGTGGAAAGTGGGAACACTACTGGTGGCCGTTGATGAATGAACACATAAAGAACAAGATCCAGAACTGCACGGTGTGCCATGCTACCGACAAACCAGTGAAGGCTGCACCGGCTCCCTTGCAGCCCATACAGTTTCCAAGTCAGCCCTGGGGAAAGCTAGGAATCGACATCGTGGGCCCGGTTGATCGTGCACCGGCCAGTCAAAGTTTTTTTTTTTGGTACTCATAGATTACCACTCCAAGTGGCCAGAAGTCCAAGCCACGTCTTCTGTGACTTCTGCGACTGTCATCAGCTTTTTGAAGAACGTTTTTTCACGCGAGGGACTGCCCTGCGAGATTGTGTCAGATAATGGAGTACAGTTTACCTCCCATGAATTTCAAGATTTCTTGCGTCAACATGGCATCAAACATAGGAAAACGTCATTATACCACCCCCAATGTAACGGGCAGGTGGAAAGATTTAACCGAGTCCTGAAGTCGTGCCTTCAGTTAGCTGTTGTACAAGGTCGTCCACTTCCAGATGCCGTCCGAGACCACCTGAAAGCGTACCGACGTACGGTACATCCTGCAACAGGATTTGCACTATCCTTTCTCCTTCATGGACGAAATCATCGGTCTAGACTAGACGTACAAGGCATGCCACCTAGGACGGTACCTGACGATCTCTTGGAACGTCGAGCTCAGCTACAAGGAAGAGTACAGCGCTATCAACAAAACATGAAAGATTATTCTGACCATCGTAGAGCGGTACGACACCCTCAGTTTCATCCTGGGCAGGCTGTTCGTGTATTCAAGCCCACCCATCATAACAAGTTGCGGAGTACATATACAGAACCACAACGGATACATGCACAGTTAGGACCTGCTACATATCAACTCGCTGACGATAGGAGGTGGAACGCAGCGAAGCTTGCAAAGTCCATACAGCTGCCTCCAGCACAAGTTCCTGACTACGGTTGGGATGATGATGATGACGAAGATGACTTGTATATACCTGCTGCAACTCAAGTGGTTCCTGTACTGACCCCTGTCCGTGGAAGCACTTCAACGTCCCAAGTACCAATTGTCTTTTCTTGCCCGGAGGGTTCCTGTGACCCCGCAGCGTCTGGTCTCTTGGGGAGACCCGGTTCATCTGCTGCACCCATGGCAGGTGCACCTCGCCATGCAGCGCTGGGTTCTCCCAAGGAGCGAGATCTGTTTGCTGCGGCAAAGTTTACAGTTCCGGTTGCTGCGGCCGAGTCTCCTGCTCCGGGTGCTGTACCGGGGCCTGTTCCTGGACCTGTTCCTGAAACTGTTCTTAAAGCTGTCCCTGGGCCTGCCTCTGTTCCTGGGGGCCCTGCTCCTGTTTCCGAGGGGAATCTCGGGTCAGCTGTACCCGACATGATCGGGATCTCTGCACCTGAGCTTTGCCCTGCTTCCGTGGCAGACGCTGGACAGTCTGTGGAGCCTGACAGGCTTGTCAGGCCTGTTCCTGAGGCTGCGGTCAGGCCTCTCCCTGAGCCTGTACTCAGGCCTGTTCCTGAGGCCGAGATCAGGCCTCTCCCTGAGCCTGGTCCCGGTCCTGTTCCGGCGGTCAGGCCTCTTCCTGGGCCCGTGGTTGTTGCTGCTCCGGACGCTGTGCCAGGGTCATCACCAGAGTCCGTGGTTGCAGGGCAACTACCTGTCTCCGATCTGGCAGTTTGCCCAGACACACGGGCAGAACTGCTCGTTTTGCCGTTGCCGGAAACGAGTACACCTCTGGAGTCTTCGGGAACGAGTGCGCCATCTATGCCTCCACTTGAGGATTCAGTGGAAGAACTTACGACCGAGTTCCACACACAACCCACGATCTCCGAGCCATCTACAGCTCCTCTACCACCAGCGAGGCAAGGTCGGCCAATACGCCAGAGAAGACTTCCGCTGAAGTTCAAAGACTATATTCTTGCACTTGGCGATGATAGTTTTCAGTCAGATTCGGAGTACAGTGACTAAGACTTTTGTAGTTATGTTTTCGTAAAAGGTCATTTTTGGTATCAACTTTGGGTACATATAGAACATTAAAAGCATATCACTGTTATAGCAAAACCTTGGCCAAGGTAAAAATGTCCATGACAAACACAATATTCTAAACAATAACCAAACTAACAAACTAACAGTTACACTACAATGTGTCATGGACATTAAAAATGGAAATAGAAAATACAAATCATAGTAATACAAATGTACTCAAATAGGTATTGTTGGATGTTTCATTTTCCTCCCAGGAGGAGGAGAGATGAGAGTGCACTAAGTTGAAATATGACTCTTGGAATAAAATTTTGATCGTCACGTGACTAGTATGATGCAACCTGAACTTTCAGTGAAAACCCGTTTTGTTCGAATGACTTGTTTAGGATTTTGTTGAATTTTCCGTGTCGTGCACACAAAGAACGTCTATGAACAATCTTTTGCGAATTTCATATTTTTTTTGTGTTTCAACGAACAATTTCAAAACCAATATTTCCAGTGAAATAACGCATTTTTCGGGTGGTGAAGTGTTTTGATTTTCGTTATTTTTTTCACATAACGAATGTATAACGTAAGTCTTCCTCCCACAATTTTCTTATTTTTTTTTTAAGGGAGGGAGAATGTAGTATTTTGATTTGCACGAGATGGCGCTACTTGACATTTCCTTTTTAAAGTAGCCATCTCGTGCATCCATGTAAAACAATAAAAAGGACAGCACGCGACGGCATGAGCCGCGCGTGATCTGCGGCCTCATCGGCCAGTGTTCGCCCCGCTCCTGAATCCGTTGGTTGTCCTTTCTTCCCGCTCCGGCGACCGTCCAGGTCCGCTCGGGGCATGTAGTTTCCCGGCTACGTCGAACGTGAGTCACCGGCGCTTGCGTCCAATGTAGCCAGGCTTTAGAGCACCGCCGCGTCGGCGCAGAATATAACACCAGAGTCAGCTAGCCTTTGCACTTGTGCCTCGAAGCTTCCCTTTGCTGAGTGTTCACAAGATTTCTTTAGAGTCGCGTTAAGGCAGGTTTTTACAATCCCTCTTTTGATTAGCTTAGAATAGGCCGAGTCATATGATAGAAGCCTTTTTTGAACCGTGGGTTATACATCCGACAGGTGTAATTGCTTTGAAATAGAAGCTGCAAATCCAGAAATTCGAACTTGTTTTTTGGCAACTCGTCTGTGAACTTCAATCCTTGAGCCCTTTCGACAAAAGAATCCCTCGTAGTACCTTGTCCAGGCTGATCGTTCAACAGAACTAAATAATCATCTACATACCTGAAGACACGCGAAACCTTGCTGTTTGACTGGCTCGTGGTGATGTCCCGGTCACATTGGGAGAAAAAAATGTCACAAAAAACGGGGGCTACACAGGATCTTATACAGATTCCCTTTTTCTGTACGTTAGCATTTCCGTTGAACGTGACCACGGTGGAAGGAAGGGAGAACCTCAGGAGTTCCACCGAAGTCTCCACCGGTAGGCAACATTGATTTTGAAGAGAAACTGTTCCATTTGCCTCAATACATTCACTTACTGCTGGGAACAATTTGGTGTGTTGTGTGTTTCTCTAGACGTAGATCTTCTACGTCTAGAGAAAGTGCAAAGCGTACAGTAGTGGCATTTTGTTGCATGTAATGTATAACAGCTTCTGAATTTGATATCAAGAAAGTGTGTTTCAGTTGGAGTTTCGACAGGTGACCCAAAAGAAAACGAGACAGTGTTCCCTGCCAAGAACCTCTTTCAGCGACAATAACGCGCAAGGGGGAGCCACCCTTGTGGGTCTTCGCTGACAAAAATATTTCCAGACGATCACCTTTTGTAGCTGTGATCTGCTCTCTCAATTGCGTCAAATCTAGCCAATGGCTTTGGCCTTCACTGTTTAAAGCAATAACACAGCTTTCAAGGGCATTCCGTCAGTCCTAGAAAACTAATGCTTGTATTTCTTTCACTAATAACTGACAGGCTGTAGCAGCCGACTAAAAATGCTTAATTACAATGGGCACTGTTACACTTCCACAGCATCTGCCTGGAGTGGTGGCAAACTTATTAATGATCCCCTCAGCCCTGAGAAATGCATGCAGAAATCATTAGGGCAGCCGTCCCTGATACTTTGTACAGGCGGATTGCAAGGGTGTTAGGATAAGTTCTAGATATTCACGGGCACAGGAAACGTTCTGAGATACTTGAAGGCATCGGATGAGTTAGGAGCGTTTACGCACTATCGGTACAAGGGCACTGGTAAAACTGCTGAGACAGTGTCCCAGTAAAGTGTCTTCCGTTTCACCGTCAAAAAATTCTATCAAGAGAAGTGAACCAAGAAGAACCTGATTGAGTCGGCAACTTCCTTGTAATAGCTCAGATGCCTCGACGTCGTCGTCCGACTCCAGGTACTCACCATCCATTGTCGTAGGTTTCAATATCCTAAGCAGTGGAATGCGGCCGTAAAGATTGGATCTCTCTGATCTCTAAAGAAGAGAAGACGCTGCACATAAAGTTTGAGGGCGACATTCACGAGCCCGAAGCCATCGTTTTCCAGACTCCAAAACAGGTTGCTTCTTCGCATTTTTATCCAATCGCGATTGTCAAATGAAGGTGGCCCAATGCCTGTGGATGGCGTTCACTGTGCCAGCGCCGCAACAAACCACTTCCCCCTCATACAAGATGGCAAGGTATGAGACGGCGTTGCAGACGTAGCTTCTGGAGAACATTGACAAGCGTCTTGCTGTCCAAGAAGACAGTTTGGCTGGTATGGTCATGAATTACTGCTTCCACTGTTGTGACGTAGGCACTGACAGATCCATGGACACTCCGAGGTACTTTTCCACGCCTATAGACCACTTCACGCCCATGAACTCCGATGGCTTTGTGGCCCACTCTCCGAGCCACCTCCCTTTCGACTTGTTTTTAGTGAGACTTGCTCCAGAACACCGACCGTAGCTTTCTAGAACATCCAAGAGTGTTTCAATTTCTTACTTTGAGGAGCATACAAAAGAAACATGTCTGCCTACGCCAGGAGTTTTACAGATGCTTCATCCAGGTTGAGACCGGAGATCGACTTGTTGCGCTGCACCTCGAGGCACAGTGGCTCCAGCCGTAGAGCGAACATGATTGGTGACATAGGGCAGCCTTGCCGGACAGAACACTGAACTTAAACTGGCTTTTCTTTCTTCCCATTTATTAAAAGCCGCGTGGTGATGCGTTTGTAGCACAGCGCTATCGAATCTCTCATCACGTAGCCATCCCCACATCCTTCCCAAACCTTCATGAGAAGCTTGTGGGACACTCGGTCAAACGCTTGACTGAGATCCGTCTGAGCACCGCTAATGGTTGACGACCTTCGGCTGTCGCTTCACAGACAAAACGCAGGACGTGAAGGTTGCGATAAATGGACCGCCCTTTCAAGCCATAGTTTTGGTGCTCTCCGATGACCTTTTTCAGTCCAAAGTCCAAACGCCGTGCCAATATTTGGGCCATTATCTTGTAGTATGTGCATAACAAACTCATTGAACGGAAGTTTGTTACTTCGGCGATTTTCCCGCAGGTTTCTACTTTTGGAATCAAAACAGTGAAGCTCTCTTTCATCGATGGGGGAAGTAACTGTCTTTCTTGTATTTCTTGAAACACTGTCAGCAGAATGGGGCAGAGGAGGATTATATATATCTTATAAAACTCGGAGCCTATTCCGTCCGGGCCCGGGGCCTTTTTTGCTGGAAGATTCTTGATTGCCCAGTTGGTTTCTGTTGAATACACAGAAAGAATAAAACACTTGAAGGACGAACACAGACGCACACAGTTCTTTCAATGAGCAACGAACATTTATGAAATGCCCATGACACTACGACCGTGAACTTCAAAGAATTGAAAGAAAGAGAGAGCGCAAAAATTTCAAAGAAATGAAATAAAGAGAGCAACAATTAAACGAAAATGCTCAAAATTAAAATAGAATAAATTAAAATAAAATAAAACTAAATTGCTCGAAAATTTTTAAAAGACCAAACTGAAACGATAGGACATTAATGGAAATTAACCCCTGAATAAAGGAGAAAAGGAAGAACGATACGGAAATTGACTCCTGAATAAATGGGGAAAAAGGAAGAAGAAAAGAAAGGAAATTAGCCCCTGAAAGCGAGGAAAAGGAAGAAGAAAGGAAAGAAAGGTAAATAATTCATCACAACTGGCTTTTCGATAACTCTGGCGCGAGGAACTCCACCTCTTTTGATGATAAGACCAGAGAAGGCTCAGAAACATTGTTCGCGGCGTATTTGATCTTGAACGCCTTAATGATTTCTCGCCCACACTTATCTCTGTGTGTTTCAAGCACAGTAGTGTTTTCAAAGTTTGGGGTGCATGTGTGACAGCTACGGGCATGCACGACTATGGGATGAAATGAGTCCGATGATGCCTTGG